ATCGACGACTGCAGCCCCAACCCTTGTGGCCCCGGCACCTGCACAGACCTCGTGGCAGACTTCACGTGCTCCTGCGAAGGCACGGGCTTCCAGGGCGACCTGTGCGCCCAACGCGTGCAGTGCCCAGCACCGGCAACTGCGGATGCAGCCACCATCACGTCCCAGTCACCAGGGGTGGACGTCCACTTTTGAGGACTCTGTTGTGTACTCGTGCCACTCCGGTAACGTCGTTTACAACACCACATCCGGCAGCACGCTCACCACGCTCCTTCCCCCAGACAGCACGCCTGCCTACATGACCTCGTTCACCCGCACGTGCCGGGCCGATCAGACCTACACCAACACGGAGCTGGCGTGTCGTGACGTCAACGAGTGCGACCCAGACGCGTATGCAGCCTACACGGCCGCAACCGGCAACAGCAGTCGTTCAGCACGGCGTGCCAAGACGCATGCACCAACACAATTGGGTCGTTTGAGTGCTCCTGCCCTGCCGGGTTTGAGCTGCAAGCGGATGGGCGCTCGTGCGATGTGCTGTCGTGTGGGCTGCCGCCTTCTCGTCCCTTTGCCACCGTGGCCAGCCAAGACCAGCCCCGCACCTACCAGCAGCAGGCGCTGTACACGTGCGATGATGGCTACACCACCACGGGCGATGCACAGGCTGCCGCCACCTACACGGCTACCTGCACGGCGACAGGCAACTACACGTTCCAAGGGACGTGTGTGGAGGTGGACGAGTGCGCCGCCCAGCCGTGCATGAACGGCGGCATGTGCACGGACCTGGTGAACGCGTTTGAGTGCGCATGTGTCGGCGAGTGGGGTGGCCCGACGTGCAGTGATGACACCAACAGGCCACCAGAACGCATCTCCCTCAGTACCACGCGCGTGCCAGAGAACACCTTCCCGCTGCCTCTCGTCACTGTCACTGTGGAAGACCCAGACACCCACCAGAGCCACACGCTGCAGGTGCTCTCATCAACACCACCCGGTGTCATTGTCGTGGCAACGACAAATGGTGGCAGTAGCAGTGGTGGTGCAGGTGCAGCTTCTCCCACTCTGGAGATTACGCGTGCACTGGACTTTGAGGTGGATGGGTCGGCCATCGAGGCTGTCGTGCGTGCAACAGACAACGGCACCATTTCCCAGCTGTCGGCTGACTTTCTTGTGCGCATCAACGTTGAGGACAACAACGACGCGCCAACAGCCGTGTTGCTTGATACCACCAGCATTGCAGAGAACACGCCTTGTATCCCGCATCAGCACCGTGGACCAAGATGCTGGTGACACCTTCACATACGCACTTGTGTCCCCGCAAGGCTCAACAGCCGCTGCAGCCTTTCAAATCGCGGGCGACATGCTGCTGGTCAAGTCTGCAGTGCCGCTCAATCACGAGGCCAACCCTGTCGTCACCACATCCATCTCCTCCATCGACAACAACGGCGCCGTCGTCACGTCCACCTTCAACATCAGCGTCGCTGACATCAACGAGCCGCCCACAGACGTGGTCGTGCACGCCATCAACGACACGTCGCAGCAGCTGCTGCAGCAGTTCCTTGTGCCAGAGCAGCCAGCACATGCCACAACAGCAGCGCAGCCGTGGCTGGTGGGCGCCGTGCGCGTGCTGGATCCGGACACGGCCGACGCCACCGCAGACCCGCATCCGTTTGTGTTTGACGTGTCCCCAGCCGGTATTGCCTACATTGAGAACCAGCAGCTGTTTGTCGACCGGTCGGCACTCGATTTTGAGTCGCAGTCGTCCTTCGTCATCATTAACGTCACCGCGCGCGATGCCCGCGACAGCTCCCTTGCCGTGTCACACCAGTTCACGCTGCTCGTGCAAGACTTGAACGAGTCGCCCTCATCTGTCGTCCCCAACGGCGTGTCCTTCCATCTCCGAGCATGCGCTCCCGGGCACCGTGGCCGGCTCGCTCACCGTACAGGACCCAGACAGCATCGCCAACGACACGCACACGTTCCTGCTCACCGACGCCTCTGGCAAGTTCGCGCTCGTTCCAGGCAGCGACCGACCGGCGTACGGTGTAGCTGGTGCTGGCAGCGGGCGCGACGCTGAACTACGAGGTGCGGTCCGTGTTCGTTGTCACCGTCACCGCGACGGACCAAGGCGGCCTCTCCGCCACATCGCAGATCCTCGTGTCTGTGCAGGACAGGAACGACGCCCCGACAACGCCCACCATCACCAGCAACAGGCTTCCCGAGAACACGACGGCGCTTCCGTTCGTCGTCGGCACGCTGCAGGCCACGGATGAGGACGCGAGCCAGATGCTCCAGTTTGCGATTGACAGCATCGATCCGCCACACGTCGCGCCCGTGTTTGCGCTAGACGGTGCAGCACTCGTTTACGACAACACAGACAGCCCGGACGTTGTCGTGAGCCACGAGACGACGCCGACCATTGCCTTCACCATCACCGTGCAGGACTCGGGCGGCCCTGGGGACAACGACCCACCGCTCAGCACAACGACGGACATTGTTGTTCGCGTGGTCGACAGCAACGACGCGCCACAGGGCTTGGTGCTCATCAACGCAACAGCGGCCGTCCCGGAGAACGCAGTGGCCGGCACCTTCGTTGGCACGCTCGCGGTCACGGGCGAGGACATGGGCGAGACCATCACGTTTGAGATTCTGCTTGGCGGTGAATTCCTGGCCGTCGCCACCCCGCAGCCCACCGCCTGCTCCGGTGGTGCTGGCCTGTGCACTGCGGATGTTGTCACGACGACACCGCT